TCTCCTGGCCTTGTGATCCGCCCGTCTCGGCCTCCCAAAGTGCTGGGATTACAGGCGTGAGCCACCGCACTCTCAGCTCACTGCAAGCTCCGCCTCCCGGGTTCATGCCATTCTCCTGCCTCAGCCTCCCGAGTAGCTGGGACTACAGGCGCCTGCCATCATGACTGGCTAATTTTTTGTATTTTTTAGTAGAGACGGGGTTTCACCGTGTTCGCCAGGATGGTCTCGATCTCCTGACCTTGTGATCCGCCCGTCTCGGCCTCCCAAAGTGCTGGGATTACAGGCGTGAGCCACCGCACCCGGCTTAATTTTATTTTTTATAGCAATTTACACTCACAACAAAATTGAGCAGAAAGAACAGAGTGCTTATGTATCTCCTGCCCCATCCTATGCACAGCCTCCCCCACTGTCCACACCCCACACCAGCGTGCTGCGTTTGTTACAACCGATGAGCCTCGTTGGCATGTCATTTCCACCCTAGTCTGTAGCTTACACTGGGGTCTGCTTTTGGTGTTGTACATTGTATGAATGTCCACAAACATGCAAGGACGTGTATCCACCACTGCCGCGTCACTCAGAGTAGTTCCCCTGTCCTGAAAGTCCTCTGTGCTCTGCCTATTCACCCTTCACTCCTGTGCTAACTCTGACAACCACTGATCTTTCTACTGTCTCCACAGTTTTGCATTTTCCAAAATGTCACGTAGGTAGGAATCACACCGTAGGTGCCTTTTCAGTCCGGCTTCTTTCACCTAGTGCTGTGCATTTTAAGATTCTCTTGTGTCTTTTCATGACTTGATAGCTCATCTCTTTTTAATGCTGAATAACATTCCACTATCTGGATGTACCATTTATTAATCCCCTCATCTTCTGGAGGATGTCTTGGTTATTTCCATGTTTTGACAATTATGAATAAAGCTGCTGTAAACGTCTGTGTACAGGCTTCTGTGTAGTCATAAGCTCTCAGCTCCTTTGAGTAAAGGTCAAGGACTGCAATTGCTAGAACAGATGGCTAAAGTATATTTACTTTTAAGAAAACACCAGGCTGAGTGTGGTGGCTCACGCCTGTAATCCCAGCACTTCGGGAGGCCGAAGCGGGCAGATCACCTGAGGTTGGGAGTTCGAGACCAACCTGACCAACATGGAGAAACCCCGTCACTACTGAAAAACAAGAAAACAAAATTAGCCGGGCGTGGTGGTGCATGCCTGTAATCCCAGCTACTCGGGGGGCCGAGGCAGGAGAATCGCTTGAACCGGGGAGGCGGAGGTTGTGGTGAGCCGAGATCGTGCCATTGCACTCCAGCCTGGGCAATAAGAGTGAAATTTCGTCTCAAAAATGAACAACAAAAAAAGAAAACACCAAACACTTTTCCAAAATGGCTGTACAAATTTACATTCCCACCAGCAATTAATTAGAATTACTGTTGCTCCACATCCTGGCCAGCATTTGGTGGTGTCAGTGTTCTGGATTTTGACATTCTGATAGGTGTGTCGTGGTATCTTGGTTTATTTTTTATTTTATTTTATTTTTGAGATGAAGTCTCACACTTTCACCCAGGCTGGAGTGCAGTGGCACGAGCTCAGCTCACTGCAAGCTCCACCTCACGGGTTCCTGCCATTCTCCTGCCTCAGCCTCCCAAGCAGCTGGGACTACGGGTGCCTGCCACCACACCTGGCTAATTTTTTGTATTTTTAGTAGAGACGGGGTTTCACCATGTTAGCCAGGATGGTCTCAATCTCCTGACCTCGTGATCTGCCTGCCTCGGCCTCCCAAAGTGCTGGGATTACAGGCTTGAGCCACTGTACCCGGCCGGTATCTTGTTTTAATTTGCATTTCCCTGATGACATGACGTGGAGGATTTTTTTATATACACATCTGCCATCTATGTATCTTCACAGATGAATTGTCTTAAGGTCTTTAGCCTCCATACCTGGCTAATTTTTTTCTTAATTTTAGAAATGGGGTCTCACTATGTTGGCCAGGGAGGTCTGAAACTCCTGAGCTCAAGCAATCCTCCCACCTTAGCCTCCCAACGTGCTGGGATTACAGGCATGTGCCACCACACCTGGTCTGTTTGTACATTCTTCACTCTACATCACACTCTCCTGATGACTATGGCTCTCCAGAAAGCCTTGAAGATGAACAGTGTCCGTCCTCCAACTTTAAGCTTCCCCTTCAATACTGTGTTGGTAATTTGGGTCTTTTACCTCTCCATATAAACTTTAGACTCAGTTTGTCAATATCCATCAAATAACTTGCTGGGATTTTGATTGGGATTGTGTTGAATCTGTAGATCAAGTTGGGAAGAACCGAAGTCTTGACAATATTGAGTCTTCTATCCACGGACAGGGAATAACTATTTACTTAGTTATTTGATTTCTTCTGCTAGAGTTTTATAATTTTCCTAAGATAGATCTTGTATACATTTTGTTAGATTTATACCTAAATATTTTATTTTAGGGCAATGCTGCTGTAATTCCACTGTTGTCTAAGAGCATATGATGTATGATATTCTTTTAAACCTAAGGTGTTTTATGCCCCAAAATACAGTCTAGGTTGAGGAATGTTCCATGTGAGCTTGACAAGAACGTGCTTTCTGCTGTTGTTGAAGTTGTCTACAGACATTCATTATTGGGGGTGCTGTTGAATTCAACTCTGTCCTTACTAATGTTCCACCTCGTTCATCTATTTCTAATAGATGTTTAAGTCTTCAGCTATGATGGTGGATTCATTTATTTTTTCCTTACAGTTCTAGCAGTTTTTACCTCCTCTGCCTGAAATTAATATATGTGCTCCAGCTTTCTTTTGAATAGTGTTAGCATGATTTATCTTTCTCCATCCCCTTACTTTTAATCTATTATGTATCTTTAAAGTGGGTTTCTTATAAATCAGGGGTCCCCAGCCCCCAGGCCATGGACCAGTACTAGGCAGCACAGTAGGAGGCGAGTGGCGGGCTAGCAAACAAAACTGAGCTCCATCTCCCGTCGCATCAGCAGCGGCATTAGACTCGCATAGGAGCCTGAACCATGCTGTGAACTGCGCATGAGAGCCATCTGGGTTGCGTGATCCTTATGAGAATCTAATGCCTGACGATCTGTCACTGTCACCTGTCACTCCCAGATGAGACTTTCCAGTCACAGGAAAACAAGCTCAGGACTCCCACTGAGTCTACATTGCGGTGGGTATGTAATAATAAAGTGCACAGTAAATGCCATGTGCTTGAGCCATCCTGAAAGCGTCCAGCCCCCACCCCGTCCATCTGTGGAAAAACTCTCTTCCACAAAACCAGCCCCGGTGCCAGCAAGGTTGGGGACTGCTATTATAGACAACATATAGTTGGGTCTAGTTTTTTGGTCCATGCTGTTTGTAATTGTAGTCCATCAACTTTTAAAGGGATTGCTGACATAGTTAAATTAATAGCTGACATATTTGTTACTGTTTTCTATTTTATTGCCCCTGCTCATTGTTCCTTGTTTTATCTTCCACTCTTTTTCTGCCTTTTTTGGTTTTAATTGCATGTTTTGTGCAATTTTTTCTCCTCAGCAAGTCAGGTATGCTTCTCTTTCCTTTTTTTACGGATGGCCCTAGAGCTATTTATTTATTTGGCAGGATCTTGCTCTGTCACCCAGGTTGGAAGGCAGTGGCACAGCCATGGCTTACTGCAGCCTCAATCTCCCAGGCTCAAGCCATCCTGTCACCTCAGCTTCCCAGGTCGCTGGTGCCACAGGGTACGTGCCTCCAAGCCCAGCTCATTTTTAAAAACTTTTTGTGGCCGGGCACGGTGGCTCACGCCGGTAGTCCCGGCATTTTGGGAGGCCGAGGCAGGTGGATCACCTGAGATCAGTAGTTTGAGACCAGCCTGGTCAACATGGTGAAACCCTGTCTCTACAAAAATACCAAAAAAAAATTAGCCGGGCATGATGGTGGATGCCTGTAATCCCAGCTACTCTGGAGGCTGCGGGAGAATCACTTGGAATCTGAGAGGCAGAGGTTGCAGTGAACTGAGATCGCACCACTGCACTCCAGCCTGGGCGATGAAAGGAGAATCTATCTCAAAAAACAAACAAACAAACAAACAAAAACTTTGTGTAAAGACAAGGTCTCACTATGTCGCCCAGACTGGTCTTGAACTCCTGGCCTCAAGCAGTCCTCCCGCCTCAGCCTCCCAAAGTGCTGGGATTACAGGCATGAGCCACCGCACCTGGCTAGAGTCTTCAGTCTTCAATATACAGCCAATCCACATCCAGATAACACTATACTGCTTCCCAGGTTGTGAAGTATCTTACAGTAGTTATTCCATATTTCTCCCTCCTTTTCTTTGTATCACTGGTACGATTTCACTTATATGTAAGATATAGTTACTGAATACAATGCCACTGTTACAACATAATAAATGAACAATTTGTTATAAGTAACTTAATAACAAAAATAAAAGTTTTTATTTTGCCTTCTTTTTCTGATGCTCTTTCTTTATGTAGATACAAAGTTCTAACCTCTGTAATGTTCTCTCTCAAAAAACTTCTTGTAACACTTCTTGTAATACCGGTAGGTCTATTGGCTACAAATTCCCCCATTTTTTTTTTTTTTTTTTTTTGTCTCAGAAAGTCTTTATTTCTCCTTCAGGTTGAAGAATAGTTCACAAAATTCTAAGTTGGTGGGGATTTTTTCTCTGAACACTTGAAATAATTCCCTCCACTCTCCTTGCTTGCATGGTTTCTGAGGAGAAATGTGATGTCATTCTTGTTGTTGCTCTGTAGGTAAAGTGTTTTTTCCGCTGGCTTCTTTGGAGATATCTTTTTTTTTTTTTTTTTTGAGATGGAGTTTCACTCTTGTTGCCCATGCTGGAGTGCAATGGCACGATCTCGGCTCACCACAACCCTCGCCTCCTGAGTTGAAGCGCTTCTCCTGCCTCAGCCTCCCGAGTAGCTGGGATTACAGGCATGCGCCACCACACCCGGCTAATTTTGCCTTTTTAGTAGAGACAGGGTTTCTTCACGTTGGTCACCTGACCTCAGGTGATCTGCCCGCCTCGGCCTCCCAAAGTGCTGGGATTCCAGACATGAGCCACTGCACCCGGCCTAGAAGATGGTATTACATGTCTTCAGGCTCAGAGCCTTTCCTCAGCCACAGCCAGTCTGCTCATGAGTCCGTTCAAGTCATTCTCCGTTTCTGTTACAGTGCTTTTCATCTCTCCCATTGCCTTTTCAGTCTTAGGATTTCCACTTCTTGGCCTATATTGCCTGTTTTTGCATGTTGTCTACTTTTTCCATGAGAGCCCTTCACCTGTTAGTCGTACTTGTTTTACATTCCCAGTCTGATACTTCCAACGTCCCTGCCATATCTGGGGAGTTCTACTTTGTCTCTTCAAGCTGGGTCTTGCGCCGTTTAGTATGCCTTGTCATTTCTTTCTGGAAAGCTAGACACAATGTACTGGGTGAAAGGCACTGAAGTAAACAGACCTCTAGTAATGCCGTGGTGAGGTGCGGGCAGAGGGCAAGGATTCCCTGATCCTTTGATGAGGTCTCAGTCCTTTAGTGAGCCTGTGCCCCGCGACACTGACCATCACAAATGCTTCTCAGTTCTTCCTTCTCTCACAGGCGGGACAGGATGAATCGAGGAAGCTGATGTGGGATACATCTCTTTCCACAGGTCACTTAGACTCTGATGAAACCCCCACAGGTGAGACTCTGGTAAAATAGTTTCTCTTAAGGGAAAGGCCCGGTGAGAAAGAACAGAAATATCTGGCCTATTTCAAAATCATTATTTTTCTCCTCTAGAATACTGCCCCCCCACCCCGAGATTCCTCAGACTTGTGCGTGCTGTGCCCCCAGGAATTCATCAGTTACAGCTCAGGCTTTCCCATCTAAGTAATGGTTCCCAGAGGCTTCTGTTCATGGTAGCGTGTTGTGGTAAGTTGTGATTCTCCGTATCCACCTCCCTCTTCAGTTTGAGGGGGCAGAGCTTGCCCTGTGGCATCAGTTCTCTGAAGGATGGAAGAAGAGCTGTTGAGGTTTCAGTTTGTTCAGCTTTTTAATTGTTACAGTGGAGTAATAACTTCCAAGCTCCTTACATGCTAGACCAAAAACTAAGTCATTTAACTTTTTTTTTTTTTGAGACGGAGTCTCGCTCTATCGCTCACGCTGGAGTGCAGTGGCGCAATCTTGGCTCACTGCAAGCTCCGCCTCCTAGGTTCACGCCATTCTCCTGCCTCAGCCTCCCGAGTAGAGGTGCCCACCACCACGCCCAGCTAATTTTTTCTTGTATTTTTAGTAGAGACGGGGTTTCACCGTGTTAGTCAGGATGGTCTCGATCTCCTGACCTCGTGATCCGCTCGCCCTGGCCTCCCAAAGTGCTGGGATTACAGGCATGAGCTGCTGCATCCAGCCATTTAACTTTTAAAAGGAACTGCCAAACTGTTTTCTTAATTGGTGGTACTATTTTACATTCCCACCAGCAATGTGTGAAGACTCCTGTTTCTACATATCCTTGCCAAAACTTATTTTCCTTTTTATTTTTTTATTTTACTCATCCTAGTGGGAGAGAAGTGGTATCTCCTTTTGTTTTGATTTGCATTTCATTGATGACTAGTTACTGACAATGTTTATTTTTCTTGGAGAAATGTCTGTTCACATCCTTTCCCCACTTTTTGTTGTTGTTGAGACAGAGTCTTGCTCTGTCACCCAGGCTGGAGTGTAGTGGTGTGATCTCAGCTCACTGTGGGTTCATGCGATTCTCCCTCCTCAGCCTCCTGAGTAACTGGGATTACAAGCACCTGCCCCCACACCCAGCTAATTTTTGTATTTTTAGTACAGATGGGGTTTCACCATATTGGTCAGGCTGGTCTCAAACTGCTGACCTTATGACCCACCCACCTCAGCCTCCTAAAGTGCTAGCATTACAGGTGTGAGCCACCATGCCCAGCCTCTTTCTTCATATATTCTAGATCCAAGTCCTTTATGAGATATATGTTAAACCAACTTTGCACTTCTTAGATAAATTCCAGCTAGTTGGCTGGGCGCAGTGGCTCATGCCTGTAATCCCAGTACTTTGGGAGGCCAAGGCGGGTGGATCACCTGAGGTCAGTAGTTCAAGACCAGTCTGGCCAAATGACAAAACCCCATCTCGACTAAAAGTATAAAAATTAGCTGGGCATGGTGGCAAGCACCTGTAATCCCAGCTACTCAGGAGGCTGAGGCAGGGAGAATCGCTTGAACCCAGGAGGCAGAGGTTGCAGTGAGCCAAGATTGCACCACTGCGCTCCAGCCTGGGCAACAGAGTGAGACACCATCTCAAAAAAAAAAAAAGAAAATCCAGCTAGTCATGATGTAGAATTCTTTTCTATATTACTGAATTTGCTTTGCTAGTATTTTATTGAGGATTTTGGAATCCATAACCAAATCAATATTGGTCTGTGGTTTTACTGTGATGTTTTTATCTGGTTTTGGTACCAGGATAATACTCATAAAATATGAGTTGGGACTTGTTCCTTTCTTTTGTAACTTTTGTAAAATGTCTTATAAACATTTGGCATTAGATTTCCCTTAAATTTTTGGTAGAATTCAGGGGAGAGGCCCTGAATCGGGCTCAGGCTTTTCATCTTCAGTAGATTTTGATAAATAATTTAGTCTCTTCATTTCTAATAGGTCTATTAGGATTGTCTGTGTCTTTAGTTTCGGTAGTTAAGGTGGTTCTAAGAATGTGTTTATGTTTTTTTTTGTTTTTTGTTTTTTGTTTTTTTTTTTTTGAGACGGAGTCTCGCTCTGTCTCCCAGGCTGGAGTGCGGTGGCGCAATCTCCACTCACTGCAAGCTCCGCCTCCCGGGTTCACGCCATTCTCCTGCCTCAGCCTCCCGAGTAGCTGGGACTACAGGCGCCCGCCACCTCGCCCGGCTAGTTTTTTGTATTTTTTAGTAGAGACGGGGTTTCACCATGTTAGCCAGGATGGTCTCGATCTCCTGACCTCGTGATCCGCCCATCTCGGCCTCCCAAAGTGCTGGGATTACAGGCGTGAGCCACCGCGCCCGGCCTATGTGTTTATCTATGTTAACTAATGTATTGGTGTGTAACTGTTGATAGTATTTTTATCATCCTTTGTATTCGTTTAAGGTTGGTGGTAATGTTCACTCATTTCTGGTTCTAATAAGTTTGAGTCTCTTTTCTTGTCAATCTAGCTAAATCAGTTTTGTTTGATCTTTTCAAACAACTAGCTTTGGTTTCACTGACTTTTCTCTATTGTTTTACTGTTCTCTATTTCATTGATTTGGCTGTAATATTTATGATTTCCTTCCTCCTAGTTGCTTAGGTTTAGTTTTATTTTCCTATTGTCTTGAGGTGGAGAAGGTTAGGTTGTTGATTTGCAATCTTTAGGATAGGTATTTATAGCTATTAATTTCCTTTATATAAGTTTTGGTATGTCTTTATTTCCCATCCATCTCAAAGTATTTCCCTTTTGATTTCTCTTTGATCCATTAGTTATGGAAGAGTGTGTAAATATCCACATATTAGTGAATTTGCCCAATTTTCTGTAAAAGTTTCCAATTTCATTTCTCATTCCATGGTGGTCAGAGAACATACTTATTTCTGGGGTTGTTTTGTTATTTTTTTGAAAACTGACTCTTGCTCTGTCAGTGCTGTGATCAGAGCTCCCTGCGACTTCTGTCTCCTGGGTTCAAGCAATTCTCGTGCCTCAGCCTCCCACGTAGCTGGGACTACATGTGTGTGCCACCATACCCAGCTAATTTTTGCATTTTTAGTAGAGACAGGGTCTCACTATGTTGCCCAGGCTGGTCTCGAACACCTGAGCTCCAGCGATCCATCTGCCTTGGTCTCCCAAAATGCTGGGATTACAGGTGTGAGTCCCCGAGCCCAGCCAATACCTTGTATTTCTATTGTTTAAAATTTGTTGGCCAGGTGCAGTGGCTCACGCCTGTAATCCCAGCACTTTGGAAGGCTGAGGCGGGTGGATCACAAGGTCAGGAGATTGAGACCATCCTGGCTAACACGGTGAAACCCTGTCTCTACTGAAAACACAAAAAATTAGCCAGGCATGGTGGCGGGTGCCTGTAGTCCCAGTTACTTGGGAGGCTGAGGCAGGAGAATGATGTGAAACCAGGAGGCAGAGCTTGCAGTGAGCCAAGATTGCACCACTGCACTCCAGCCTGGGCAACAGAGCAAGCCTTCATCCAAAAAAAAAAAAAAATTGTTGAGGTTTCTTCTATGGCCTAGCAAAGCGTCTCTTTTACAGCACATTCTTCCTGCACTTGAAAAGAATGCATGTTTTGCTATTGCTGGGTTGCGTGTTCTGCAGGTATCTGTTATGTCTAAATGACTTAGAGTGTTCTATTATTTTATTTATTTTATTTCCCTGTATTCCACCTAGATGTTCCATCATTAAAAAGTGGGGTTAATAGATGATGCTGTGTTCAACTTCAAAAAAAAAAAAGAGTGGGGTATTTCTGTTCCAACTGTTATGTTTAACCTTTTTTTTTTTGGAGACACAGTCTCACTCTCCCTCGCCAGGCTGGAGTGCAGTGGGTGCAATCTTGGCTCCGCTTTGGGAAACTCGCATCCCCAGGTTGAAGTGATTCTTCCTGCTTTAGCCTCCTGAGTGGCTGAGACATTACAGATTACCACCAGCCCAGCTAATTTTGCATTTTTAATGAGACGGGGGTTTTGCATTGGCCAGGATGGTGCGGATGTCTTGACATGTCGTGATCTGCCTGACCTTGTCTGTTACAGGTGCTGGGATTACAGATGTTCCCATTGCCCAGCCTATTTGCATTTTGCATCATGTATTTTGGTGCTCTGTTTTAGGTAACACATATAATTGCGCTTTGGGTGGATTAAACGCTTTTTGTCTATTGTAATTTCCTTCTTTTATCTTACTTTTTATTTTTAATGTTATATGATATTAATATAGCTGTTTACAATTATCTTTTATTTTTTTTTGAGATGGAGTCTTGCTCTGTCACCCAGGCTGGAGTGCACTGGTGCAATCTTGGCTCACTGCAACCTCCACCTCCTGGGTTCAAGAGATTCTTCTGCCTCAGCCTCCAGAGTAGCTGCGATTACAGGCATAAGCCACCACACCTAGCTAGTTTTTGTATTTTTAGTAGAGACAGAGTTTCACTATGTTGGCTAGACTGGTTTCTTGACCTCCAGTGATCTGCCCACCTTGGCCTCCCAAACTGCTGGGATTATGGCGTGAGCCACGCTTTCAACCCATCCTTTACTTACCAATCTGTTTGTATCTTTAGATCAAAGTGTATCTTTTTTTTTTTTTTGGAGGCGGAGTCTTGCTCTGTTGCCCAGGCTGGAGTGCAGTGGCGCAATCTCGGCTCACTGCAAGGCTCCGCCTCCTGGGTTCACACCATCACCTGCCTCAGCTCCCGAGGCTGGCTGGGACTACAGGCGCCGCCACCACGCCTGGCTAATTTTTTTGTGTTTTTAGTAGAGACAGGGGTTTCCCTTGTGTTGGCCAGGATGGTCTCAATCTCCTGACCTGTTGATCTGCCTGCCTCGGCCTCCCAGCCCAAAGTGCTAGGATTACAGGGTAGACAACTGGCGCCCGACTAGTGTGTCTTATACAGTGTATATAGTTGGACTATGTTTGTTATCCATTCTGACAACTCTGCCATTTAATTGGGTTCTGTAATTTATTCCCATTTAGTGTTATTATTACTGAGTTAGACATGCTTGTTTTGCCATCTTACTTTTGTTTTCTGTGGGTTTAGCCCACACGCTTTCTTGTTGCTATACTCCTTTACTACTTTCATTTTTGTTTTGTTTGTTTTTTGGAGATGGAGTTTCATCTGTCGCCCAGGCTGAAACAATGGTCGATCTCGGCTCACTGCAACTCCCTCCTGGGTTCAAGTGATTCTCCTGCTTCTGTGTAGCCTCCGAGTAGCTGAGATTACAGGTGCTGCGCCACACACCTGGCTAATTTTGTATTTTTAGTAGAGGCGGGGTTTCTCCATGTTGGTCAGGCTGGTCTCAAACTCCATTACCTCAGGTGATCCACTCTACCTCAGCCTCCCAAGTGCTGGGATTACAGGAGTAAGTCACACCACCCGACGCTACTTTCATTTTCATTAATAAGTATTTGTTTTTTTTTTTGGAGACGGGTCTCGGCGCTGTTGCCCAGGCTGGAGTGCAGTGGCCGGATCTCAGCTCACTGCAATCTCACGCCTCCCAGGTTATGCCATTCTCTGCCTCAGCTCCCGAGTAGCTGGGACTACAGGGCGCCACCTGCCCGGAGTAGTTTTGTATTTTTAGTAGAGATGGGGTTTCCCCACCGTGTTAGCCAGGATGGTCTCGATCTCCTGACCTTGTGATCTGCCCGTCTTGGCCTCCCAGAGTGCTGGGATTACAGGCTTGAGCCATAAGCCCCGGCCTCATTAAGTATTTTCTTTCTTTTTTTTTTTTTTTTGAGACGGAGTCTTGCTCTGGCAACCGGAGCTGGAGTGCAGTGGCCGGATCTCAGCTCACCTGGCTCCGCCTCCCGGGTTCCCGCCATTCTCCTGCCTCAGCCTCCGGAGTAGCTGGGACTACAGGCGCCGCCACCTACGCCAATAATGATTTTTTTGTATTTTTCATTAGAAATGTATTTTCTAATGAAATATTTCAGTTGTTTATCTTTTTTTTTTTACTATTTGTTAGTTTCTTTAGGGTTTACTGTATTATAAATGTAGAGGCTTATCAGATGAGCTGCAGGTTTGTATTAATCGCGTTCCAGTGAGATGCAGAAATGCTGCACCTGTGCCAGCTCTATTCCTTCTTGCCCCAACTTTTTATGGCATTATTAACACATACTACATCCATGAATATTATCATAAAAACAGTGCATCTTAATTAGCACTTTACCATCGTAGTCGCGCTGTCCCTTGCCACCTTTGCTCCCTCTCACTCACCTCCTTTGTGTGCTGTTGTTATTGGCAAATAGGTAGAAGTATTCTTATGTGTTATACAGTAGCAGTGCTTTACAAACATTTATGCAGTTTGCCTTTAAAATAATTAAAAGAAAATATATAAATGGGAAAAAACTGATGAGTGTGGCCCAGGGCTCCACTGCAGGCCAAAACAGGAATTCTTACCTCCCACATTGTTAGAAGCTCTCTGGCTGGCCTCAGGCCGTCTACAAGATCCTCTTACCAGGCAGTGGTTCCAGGACTTACAGTTTTTCAGTAGCGATCAAAGAGCTGGTCCAAAAGACCTATGAAATGTGCATGCGGACAACTGAGGCCTGCTGCGTTATGGCGTTCAAATGGAAAAGTGCTTCATTTGCATATGCATCATCTCTCTAGACCCTGCTGGTAGAGGAAGGGAATAAGGCAGTCACGGTAAAAGGTAGAGATAAGTTCCAGACTCACTAGGTGGTGCCTGTTATTATTAAGTTTATTAGGAAGTGATTGTGAGTGAAGTGAAAGATCTAACGTCCACGTCATAGAATTGGTGTTGGGACACCACAGAATCTCTAGATTTAATTTGTGAATTGAGTCCAGTTCAGTACTTTCGGGTGTCACGCAATCCTCCTGCACACCTGGTGTTGGGACACCACAGAATCTCGTTTGAATTTGTGAATTGAGTCCAGTTCCCAGTACTTTCGGTGTCACCAATCCTCCTGCACACCTACGTGGTTTTTCTTAGGACTCAGTGGTCTTTGAGGATGTGGCTGTGGACTTCACCCTGGAGGAGTGGGCTTTGCTGGATTCTGCTCAGAGGAACCTCTACAGAGATGTGATGCTGGAGACCTTCCGGAACCTGGCCTCAGTAGGTAAGGATGACATCATTCCTTCACTTGGTTTTTAATGAACTCATTTCTTTCTCATCAGTTCTGTTCCAAGATTTGAAATGTGGGAAAGGACTAAGGTACACATATTCACAGCCACCATGGACCTAGAATCTAATCATTATTCTCTAACAGTGAAAACATGTGTGAAACAGATGTTATTTCTGTCTTGGTTTAAAGGACTTGAAGTTCCTTTCGTGAAATTAGTATGGGTATAGATTTCATTGGTCATTTAGGATCACAGAGTGGTTCCTTGTTTGACACCTGTGACTTACTGTGTTTGTGAAATACCTAACATTTTGACCCCTGATGTCTGTTAACTGATGAAGTCCTCAAAATGCTAAACTCCTCAGTGTCTTCTTTTGCTTAATATGTGTCTCATTCCTTATGAGATTTGTTCACTTTTTTGTTTCAGATAAGAAGACTCAATTTAAAGCCAATGGGTCAGTTTCTCAGCAGGATACGTACGGGGAAGGAAAATCTAAGGAACAGACAATACCAAACTTCACAAGAAATAATTCCTGTGCCTACACTTTAGAAAAAACTTGTGAAGGTTATGGCACTGAAGATCACTACAAGAGGTGAGATGTACTCACAAGAGAAATCGTCCAGGAGAAAATCTTTGCATGCAATTAAATATATATATAAGTATTGCTCCAAATATAAGCATTGCTCCAAATCTTAACAAAAAAAAAATTTGTATTTGATTTAGACATTGAGAATTTGAAACATAATTGCTAGAAATAACGACAGGGGGCCGGGCATGGTGGCTCACGCCTGTAATCCCAGCACTTTGGGAGGCCGAGGCAGGCAGATCGTGAGATCAGGAGATCAAGACCATCCTGGCTAACACGGTGAAACCCCGTCTCTACTAAACATACCAAAAAAATTAGCTGGGCGTGGTGGCAGGCGCCTGTAGTCCCAGCTGCTCCGGAGGCTGAGGCAGGAGAATGGCCTGAATCCAGGAGGTGGAGCTTGCAATGAGCTGAGATTGCACCACTGCACTCCAGCCTAGGCAACAGAGCAAGACTCCATCTCAAAAAAAAAAAAAAAGAAAAAAGACATTACAGGAAAACCCCATGTATAATAAATACTGCATTAATCAATATGTCTCTTCAATTCAGAATAGAAAAACTTCATGTACACTGAAATGTAGTTAGAAATGTATTTCTAATACTTGTTAATACATATCAACAAATCATTGCCAAATATACCATAAATAAAAATGTTTCTCATTTTTAACAGAAATTGTACAGTGGACAGATTCTGTAACAATAATGAAGGTAATCAATATGGAGAAGCCATCCATCAAATGCCAAATCTTACCCTGTTCAAGGAAATTTCTGCTGGAGAAAAACCGTATGAATGCACCAAGTGTGGGACAGTCTTCACGCATGTTTCTTCTCTTAAAAGGCACGTCACGTCTGTGTGTGGACGAAAAGCGCCTCCGTGTGAGGAATGTAAGCAGGTCTGCATTTGTCCCTCACACCTACACAGCCATGGAAGAACCAACACTGAGGAGAAGCCCTATAAGTGTCAGGCATGTGGGCAAACTTTCCAACATCCCCGTTCCCTCTCTCAGCACGTGAAGACTCACACAGCAGAGAAAACCTATAAGTGCGAGCAGTGTCGGATGGCATTTAATGGTTTTGCAAGTTTCACTAGACATGTGAGAACTCACACAAAAGACAGGCCATATAAATGTCAGGAATGTGGGAGAGCCTTCATTTATCCCTCGACATTTCAAAGACACATGACAACACACACTGGAGAGAAGCCCTATAAATGTCAACACTGTGGGAAAGGCTTCAGTTACCCCCAGGCTTTTCAAAGACATGAGAAGACGCACACGGGAGAGAAACCCTATGAATGCAAGCAGTGTGGGAAAACATTCAGTTGGTCTGAAACCTTGCGAGTACACACGAGGATCCACACTGGGGAGAAACTCTATAAATGTGAACACTGTGGGAAGGCTTTTACCTCTTCCAGATCATTCCAAGGTCATCTGAGGACGCACACAGGAGAGAAACCTTATGAGTGTAAAGAATGTGGAAAAGCCTTCAGTTGGTCCTCAACGTTTAGAGAACATGCAAGAATTCACACACAAGAGCAGCTCTATAAATGCGAACACTGTGGGAAGGCTTTTACCTCTTCCAGATCATTCCAAGGTCATTTGAGGACGCACACGGGAGAGAAGCCTTATGAGTGTAAACAATGTGGGAAAACCTTCACTTGGTCCTCAACGTTTAGAGAACATGCAAGAATTCACACACAAGAGCAGCTCTATAAATGTGAACACTGTGGGAAGGCCTTTACTTCTTCCAGAGCATTCCAGGGTCATTGGAGGATGCACACTGGAGAGAAGCCTTATGAGTGTAAACAGTGTGGGAAAACCTTCACTTGGTCCTCAACCTTACATAATCACGTGAGGATGCACACTGGAGAGAAACCTCACAAATGTAAACAATGTGGGATGTCCTTCAAGTGGCCCTCCTCCTTCCGAAACCATCTGAGGATGCACGCAGGACAGAAATCCCACGAATGTCAGTCACACTCAAAGGCCTTCAGTTGTCAAGTCATTCTTTCTAAAACCAGTGAGAGTACACACTGAAGAGAAATTCAATAACTAAGTAACATGGGGTAACCTCACATTAATTCATGTATAATTCGCCACAAACTCTACACCAGGAGAGAAATATTACAAGTATGACATTGTATTTGTCAATACCTCATTTGTCAAACAGAGCCATTAGAGAAAATAATTCTCTAAGTCCTCTTTCAGCTATAATACCTATGTTTTAATAGTTAAGTGTTTTATCTCTTAGAGTCCAGCTCTGTCGCCCAGGCTGGAGTGCAGGGGCGTGATCACAGCTCACTGTAACCTCCGCCTCCCGGGTTCACGCCATTCTCCTGCCTCTGCCTCCCAAATAGCTGGGACTACAGGCGCCCGCCACCACGCCTGGCTAATTTTTTGTATTTTTAGTAGAGACAGGGTTTTACCATGTTAGCCAGGATGGTCTCGATCTCCTGACCTCGTGATCTGCCCATCTCGGCCTCCCAAAGGATTACAGGCGTGAGCCACTGTGCCCGGCCTCTTAAATATTTTCATTTCGAACTGTATTAGACCCATAGGTGATTTGGAGTGTACTTTGAACATGAAAGAATTTTTATAGTTTCTGTATTTTTCTGTATGGCATCATTACAACAATGAAACTTTGGTATTTTTTATTCTTACTGGCCTACTGCTACAGATAGTGGATATCACTTACCTATTTTAAATATTGTACCTTACCAAAATTGTTTTGCAAAACCTTGTAAATATGCAAAGTTCTGTATAAAGTATAGTCTCTAATCTAATCTTTTGCAATTTGTTTTTCCTCATTTCTCACTGGGAGTTAGACAGTAGCCTTTGAATTAGGAATGGGGACCTATACGACAAGAATCAATCTACAGATGGTTTTGTTATGGATATATGTGTAAGGCTGGGAAAGACATTTCCCTGAATGTCTTTCCTTTATGGCACCAAGTTAAAATCTGCTCATTTTCTTTTTTTTTTTTTTTTTTTTGAGACGGAGTGTTGCTCTGTAGCCCGGGCTGGACTGCAGTAGCCGGATCTCAGCTCACTGCAAGCTCTGCCTCCCGGGTTTACGCCATTCTCCTGCCTCAGCCTCCGGAGTAGCTGGGACTACAGGCGCCCGCCACCTCGCCCGGCTAGTTTTTTGTATTTTTAGTAGAGACGGGGTTTCACCGTGTTAGCCAGGATGGTCTCGATCTCCTGACCTCGTGATCCGCCCGTCTCGGCCTCCCAAAGTGCTGGGATTACAGGCTTGAGCCACCGCGCCCGGCCTAAAATCTGCTCATTTTCTACTTTGCATGAGGTTTGGCAGTTGGGACCTGAGAAGTCATTACCCGCTTTGTAGAGCCAGCATACTCAGCTACATCAAGGTGGCACACAGGTGCACCATACAACGGCCTTCTGGATCACTGTATTGATTCCTGCCCCTGTTAATGAAGAGTATCTCTACAACAGACACCAGCTGCCTAACTTTCAGCCAGACATCTCCATGAGCTCCCCCAACATGAATACATTTATTTCGGATTCCTGCAACACCTGCCATGTCCACCAGGCCACTGATCCTGACTGTCGTGGTGATCATCTCTGAAGCTCTGACTCCCTCCTTTAGGTTTTATTTTATTTTTATTTATTTTTATTTTTATTTTGAGACAGAGAGTCTCACTCTGTTGCCTAGGCTGGAGTACAGTGGCGTGATCTCGGCTCACAACCTCTGCCTCCTTGGTTCAAGCGATTCTCCTGCCTAGCCTCCCGAGTAGCTGGGATTACAGGCAAGCATCACCATGCCTGGCTAACTTTTGTATTTTTAGTAGAGACGGGGTTTCACTATGTTGGCTAGGCTGGTCTCGAACTCCGGACCTTGGGATCTGCTGGCCTCGGCCTCCCAAAGTGCTGGGATTACAGGCGTGAGCCACGGCACCCAGCCCAGGTCTTACCTTATTTTTATACTAAACATTTTGTTCTTTTGTTCTCTTAGTACTGCTTATGGTTCTGTGTGCAGACACAACCATGACAGCCAAAAATCACACACACAAACCAAAAATCACACACACAAACGTCTGATTGTGTACAGCATCGCTGAATGACTACTTAGTCCATCCATGTAAGAATAATCACCTCTCTCATATCAGGCAGACTGAGTTTCCTATTACTCAGAGCTAAGTGCAACCCTTCAGTATGTGTTCAATACTATGTTTAATTATATGCTATTAAGAACAAGACACTTTTTGTCAAATTCCTCTGTAGTTGTTTCTTAGATTCTATGAACCATGTTCAGATAAATTGTATACTAACATTTTTACTCTGAAGATATAAATATTCCATTGCAATTATGGAATATGAAATCAACTTTGTAATTTTGTCAATTTAGTCACTATTTATTAGTATTACCGGATGTGTACAGCTCATGCACTCTTCTTAAAGATCAATTTTTTATATACTTAAAACTTTTGACATTAACATAACTTCTTTTTTTTTTGAGATGGAGTCTCGCTCTGTCACCCAGGCTGGAGTGCAGTGGTGCCATCTTGGCTCACTGCAAGCTCCGCCTCCTGGGTTTACGCCATTCTTCTGCCTCAGCCTCCCGAGTGGCTGGGACTACAGGCGCCTGCCACCACACCCTTCTAATTTTTGTATTTTTAGTAGAGACGGGGTTTCACCGTGTTAGCCAGGATGGTCTTGATCTCCTGACCTCGTGATCCGCCCGTCTCAGCCTCCCAAAGTGCTGGGATTAGAGGCATGAGCCACCACGACCGGCACTCCTAACAATCTTAACCGAAGAACTTACTCAGGGGTATTTAAATGGTGGGGAGCAATAGATACACAGTTGTGCATTTTTGGAGTTGACAGTAATTATTGGGGGAAACCCCACCCCTGATATTTAACGTGGGTTCTTTTCTATTTCCCTAAGTGTCTCGGCTGGTTTGAGAAATAAAGGGAAAGAGTACGAGGGAGAAATTTTAAAGCTGAGTGTCCGGGAGAGACATCACATGCCAGCAGGTTCCATGATGTTCCCTGAGCCATAAAACCAGCAAGCTTTTATTAGCGATTTTCAAAAGGGGAGGGAGTGTACGAATAGGGTGTGGATCACAGAGATCACATATTTCACAACGTAATAAAATATCACAAAGCAAGTAGAGGCAGGGCGAGATCACAGGACCACAGGCTGGGGCTAAATTAAAATTGCTAATGAAGTTTTGGGCACGCATTGTCATTGATAACATCTTATCAGGAGACAGGGTTTGAGAGCAGACAACCTGTCTGACCAAAATTTATTAGGTGGGAATTTCCTCGTCCTAATAAGCCTGGGAGTGCTACAGGAGACCAGGGCTTATTTCATCCCTTCGGCTTCGACCATAAAAGACAGACGCCTCCAAGGGGGCCGTTCATAGACCTACCATGAGGGCGCATTCTCTTTCTCAGGGATGTTCCCTGCTGAGAAAAAAGAATTCAGCGATATTTCTCCTATGTGCTTTTGAAAGCAGAGAAATATGGCTCTGTTCCATCTGGCTCACCGGCAGTCAAGAGTTTAAAGTCTTGTATCTCCCTTGTTCCCTGAACATTGCTGTTATCCTGTTCTTTATTCAAGGTGCCCAGATTTCATATTGTTCAAACACACATGCTCTACAATTTGTGTAGTTAACGTAATTATCACGGGGTCCTGAGGTGACATTCATCCTCCTCAGCTTACGAAGATGATGGGATTAAGAGATTAAAGTAAAGACAGGCATAGGAAATCACTAGGGTATTGACTGGGGAAGTGATAAGTGTCCATGAAATCTTCACACTTTATGTTCAGAGACTGCAGTAAGGACAGGCATAAGAAATTATAAAAGTATTAATTTGGGGAACTAATAAATGTCCATGAAATCTTCACAATTTATGTTGTTCTGCCATGGCTTCAGCTGGTCCCTCCGTTCTTAACGTAATTATCACGGGTCCTGAGTGTGGACATTCATCCTCCTCAGCTTACGAAGATGATGGGATTAAGAGATTAAAGTAAAGACAGGCATAGGAAATCACTAGGTATTGACTGGGGAAGTGATAAGGTCCATGAAATCTCTGTACTTTATAAGTTCAGAGACTGCAGTAAGGACAGTAATAAGAAATTATAAAGTAGATGAATTTGTAAATCCACAACCACACCTACAATTTATGCGTTGTTCGCCATGGCTTCAGCTGGTCCCTCCGCCCGGTCCCTGACTTCCGCGCAACAGGCAATGACTCCCCGTAACAATCAACACAGGGGTATGCTTTGGCTTCAATTTTTTTTTTTTTTTTTTTTTTTTGAGACGGAGTCTTGCTCTGTCACCCAGGCTGGAGTGCAGTGGCCGGATCTCAGCTCTCTGCCTCCCAGGTTCACACCATTCTCCTACCTCAGCCTCCCGAGTAGCTGGGACTATAGGCGCCCGCCACCTCGCCCGGCTAGTTTTTTGTATTTTTAGTAGAGACGGGGGTTTCACCGTGTTAGCCAGGATGGTCTCTATCTCCTGACCTCGTGATCCGCCCGTCTCGGCCTCCCAAAGTGCTGGGATTACAGGCTTGAGCCACCATGCCCGGCCTTCATTTTTACAATGGTTGAAACTGTTAGGCCATGTGATACATGGTCATGAATTTGAACGCGCACATTCTGATCAGAGGGTTCCCATTTGATGTGGACCACAGAGCATCTTACCTACCTACATGAGTTGTAAGCTGCGTGTTAGCCGAGCTCCTGCTGTAGCAGATCCCTCTCCAGGCTCTCCTGCATTCCAACCTGGATGTTCCCTGGCAGCTATGATGTTAAAGCGACAAATGCTGAATTTAATACTAGGGGCACATTTGCAATTATTTTAAAAGGGGGGAGGGGGTTTTCATAAAAGCCTTTGTATGGCCAGGCCCAGTGGCTGACGCCTGTAAATCCCAGCACTTTGGGAGGCCAAGGCAGGCAGATCACTTGAGGTCAGGAGTTCAAGATCAGCCTGGCCAACATGGTGAAACCCCGTCTTAAAAAATACAGAAATTAGTCGGGCGCGGTGGCTCACGCCTGTAATCCCAGCACTTTGGGAAGCTGAGGTGGGCGTATCACAAGGTCAGGAGATTGAGACCATCCTGGCTAACACGGTGAAATCCTGTCTCTACTAAAAATACAAAAAATTAGCTGGGCGTGGTGGCGGGCGCCTGTTGTCCCAGCTACTCGGGTGGCTGAGGCAGGAGAATGGCGTAAACCCGGGAGGCGGAACTTGCAGTGAGCCGAGATCATGCCGTTGCACTCCAGCCTGGGCAACAAAGCGAGACTCCATCTCAAAAAAATAAAACGAAAACATAAAAGCCTTTGTAATACGTGGCTCTTGCATCTGAATATTAAAAATTGACACAAAACATTAGAGTTT